GAAAAAAAAAATTTATAATATTTAGCAAACCCAAACAATAAAAAAATTATATATTGATCACTAAATATTTATATAGTGACCACTAATTAGTTGAAAAACTTTTTAAATAAATTCAGTTTAAAGTTTTTAATGCAATTTAGATCTGAGCAAAAAAAAAACTCAAAAAACCCTTAAAAATATGCTCGGTCATTTTTGGTTTTAACCAAAACCAAAAATGACCGAGCATATAGCGACAAATTCAATATCAATAACAGCAATTCTACCAAATTGTAGCACAAATCAATATCCCTTCAAAAATGATATTAGTCCTTACTTTAATGCTAGATCAATCAATAGCAACCTTATACCACCTAAATTATCTGCTTCAAAATAGCAATCTTGACACTATTTTATAGGGATGCACCGAACCCGGTTTTTTGCCGAACACCGAATCCGAACGTTCGGCCATGAAAGTTCGGCCGAACACCGAACCGAATACCGAACTTTTGCTTTTTTTAAATATAAACATTGATTTACGTCAAAAACATTTTGAACTTGAACATTAACTATATTTTTAAAAATTTAATGTGTTTTTTAAAACATTAGATTTATTTTGAAAATATGTGAGGAAACTTTAAATAATTATCAAAAGTAAATTTATTATTAGATGATTCTTTGTAGTCACTACACTACAATGTAGTGTAAAGAAGTAAAAATGTTAAGATGTTTTTATTTGAAAAATGAAAAATTAAATTTATGAGTATGACTTATTAATAATGAGTATAACTTATTAATGATGAATATAAATAATTAACAATTATAATATAATAAAATTATATTGCAATTTATAAATAAATCTTCTTAAAAAAAGATTTTACGTTAATAGGTACGTGAGTAAAAATTTCAAATTGTTTGAATACTATAATGTTATATATCATTAGAAAGAGGATTATTACAGTATTTTAAAGGTGAAAAAATTATCAAAATTGAACAATTAGTTCAAAAGTTATGACGGTTTAAGTACCGATTTTTCGATATTAGGATTTGTTGAAGCAACTGTGGTCAAAATAATGTTTTTCTTTACTTAAATTGTCATAACTTTGTCAATTCTTATCGAAAAACAAATATCTTAGTGTCAAAAGATAGGTGTAAGAGTGGGCTACACCGGGCGTTTTGGACGGACAGTGGGAGCACCAAACCACCACCATACCCGTACGAAACTGAACACTTTTTTCAGAAAAAAAGTTTTTTTTAAAGACATAAGCAATATAAATATTAAAACAAATTGTTTTAAACTTATACTTAACCATTAAAATATATGAGAGGTGTATGTTAGCAATAGAGGTGGGTGTGGTGGTGGTGGTTTGTTACACCCTAGTATCAAAAACGACTTGATTTTATATTTATATCTTTACTGAAATGTGTAAAATTAGTATACAATATAAAATTATTTTATACATGATCTTACGTCTACAAGTGGTGTTTCTATTACAGGAGGGCGTATGCCCCCCCCCACCCACCTATCCTAAAAAAAATATATACAATTACTGTTTTCAAAATTTGGATAATAAATTTAAAAATGAAATTATGAAATTGGAAATAAATTAAAAAATAAATTCATATCAGACAACCATCAAATATGGAAGATGAATGTAAAACTCATAGTAGATATGTTGATGATGTTTTAAAGGGGAAAGAAAGAAAAGAGGCATTTAGAATGCCTCTTTCCCCTTTAAAACATCATCAACATATCTACTATGAGTTTTTCCCCCCTCTAACCTAATATTATTATTTAATTGGTTATATATTACTAAAAAAATTATACAACTACTATTGTGGGGCTATAATTAAGTCAATTGGCTTTAAAAAATATGTCATCTTTATAACCAAGTATAGCAAATACCTATATTATTGTCTTTCATGTGATTCTCACATTAACAGAACCATACAGTATGGTTAACGAGCTAACCATTTTCTTCGGTTAATAAACAAATTTCCTGTTTCAAAATAAATATTATTTATGCAAGTTACAACACTTGCAACATATTTTTGACTAGTCACAACACTTGCAGTGTTATTAAATTAATTAAATTGTAACTCACTGAAAACAATATCAGCAGCAAGCTGGATCTTTTTCATGCCTATTGCATGAAAAAGATCAGCTTGCTGCTGATGTCAACAGCTCCAATATCAGTTTCATCATCTTTCCAGTAAGAAATTGTGTAAATAAAGTTATTTTTTCTTTTATTAACTTTTTCTACTCTTTCGCTATATAAAACACTTTTGCATGTTTTTGGATCGTAATAAAACACTTTTGCATGTTTTTGGAGTTTCTAGAACAATTTTATCTGACATGACATCTTCTAAATCAAATAGTTGGTCATTGGACAAGCGCTTGCATGAATTAATAATTTTTTAAAAATTCAATTTGGATACACGCTCTAACTTTCTTTTTTCTTTTTCATCCATTTTTTGGCGCTTGATTTTTTGTCTTTGGCAAATCTCATCTCTCACTTTGCATCAATGCAGTTGATTTGTAAATCTGTTTTTATGTGCTACATTAATTGACCATTTAACAATCTTTTTTCTTAAACTTAAATCTTTTAAAAAAACTTTTAAATCAAAACATTTATTCAACAAGGAATACTAACACAGCATAAAAATACTTTAAATGATATAGTAACTAAAACAATTCAAACTTAACTTACTGATTGTTTGTTCTAAATTGTCTACAGAAAAAAAAGAGAGACTTAAAAAAATGTAAGTACTAAGTATACAAAAATACAACTAACAAGAAATAATATTGTTAGACAACAATCTACACAGGCATAATAAAGAACTGCCTTAGAAAACTAATATCATATATATATGTATATATATACATATATATATATATATATATATATATATATATATATATATATATATATATATATATATATATATATATATATATATATATATATATATATACTATATATATATATATATATATATATATATATATATATATATATATATATATATATATATATATATATATATATATATATATATATATATATATATATATATATATATATATATATATATATAGAACATATATTATAATAGCATCTATTTAATAACTACTAAGCTATTGAATACAGAAAGTAACTAACTGATGTTGTCGGCTGCACTACAACTTTGTTTATCTAAAACAGTGAAAGAAATATTTAAGTTATACATAAAGATTTAGATAGTGGCCAGATAATTTAAAAACAGTTTAATAAATTTATATCGAAACAACTTATCCATAAAGATATTTCTCATTAAATAAAAACAACGTTCAATCTTCAAATTAGATATGATTCATCAATAATTTAACTCACATCTAATTCTTATTAATAAATTACTAGATGAAATACTAGATGAAACCTTTATTTTCTTCCTCCATTTTATTTCTAAATCAAATATAAAATCAAAGTCTTTTTTTAATGTTTACTAAAAATCGTTTTATTAAAGTAATTTCTTTTAAATGTACAAATTTTTTAACTATATTTTTATTCTAAAATATCTAGGTTTACAATATCAATTTATGACATAAGTCAAATATTGCTAATATGAATACTATATATGTAAAATAAATATAAATAAAAACAATCAATAGACCCCTCTGTCTCCCGCGCCAACATCAGGTAAAATGTAAATTAGGTAACAAAAGTGCAGCAAGAAATAAGGTGACTGCTACAAAATATTTTTCAACGAAAATTGGCAGGTGCATAGATAAATGAATAAATTTAATTAAAAAAATGGATAGAAAAAAAAAAGACTTTATCCAGGACATTAAATTCACCACAGAAGTACAACCAAAATTTTGACATCAATAAACTCGTTAATAAATTAAGTGAGTATAATTAAAAACCAATCGAACTAATGCTTCAACTATTCTTCTTTCTAAAAATAATCTATGTTGATAACGAATACTTAAAAGTTATTCCACAACGCCTTCCTCAAGCACTCTAACTTTTAAGAGACTACGAAAAACGTGGAACAGAATTTTAGCACAAAATTCGGTTCTGTAAAACGCGATACTCACGTACCTAACGTTAAGTATTTATTTTAATAGTTATTAATTGTTAATGTTAAGGCTTGAAGTTAAGCTATTTAGCTAACTTTTATATTTGTAGACTATACTAAAAGCTTAGCTTATATGTTATAACACTTAAGCTAAATTTGTACTCTATTCTACAAATATAAAAGTTACCTAATAAAAATAAAGGTATTAAGGTATAAGGTATTGAAACCTAGTATCTGGCATGTTTTAAGATTATATTTTTTTCTTAAACTTTATTTATTTATTAGAAGCATACAAAAATGTCTTCAAAAATAAAATTTAAAAGTACTGTTTAGAAATATTTTAAAGTTTCAAAGAAAGATAATCATTTTTGTATTTGCCTACTATGCAAAGCATTACTTTCTAGAGGTGGGAATTGTCCTAAAACATTCACTACAAGTGCAATTAGACGTCATTTAAAAAACAAGCACTTTGCAGAATATAAAATAGCTGAAAAAGAGTCTGACAAAAAAAAATTGAAACATCTACAGCCTCTAGATCAAGTGATTCTGAATTAAAAAAACAATTAACATTACTTAGAGAGTCTTAATAAAAAAAAGCTGTGGGATGTAAATGATCAAAGAGCTATCAAAATTTACAATCACATTGGAGAAATGATGGCGTTGGACATCCAACTATATTCGATTGTAGAAGATCTTGGTTTTAGAAAATTAATTGAAGAGCTGTGTCCTAATTATTAAATACCTAGTAGGAGATATTTTAGTGAAAACATTATTCCACAAATATATAATAAACTATTTAGTTCTATCAAGAGTAATATATCTGCTGCCATTCATATCTCTCTTACAACTGACATTTGGAAAGCACATAGTTCAAATGTTGCCTTTATAAGAATGACACCACACTGGCTCAGTAATGAATTTTCCCAGCACAGAGCAGTACTCAGAGTTATGCACTTTCCAGAATGTCACACAGGAAAAATATAAGTGAGTATTTACATAAAGGTTTAGTAAGTTTTGAAATTCCACACTCAAAAATTCATATTGTTTTACGAGATAATGCGGCCAATATGGTAGCTGGTGTAAGAGACAGTGGTTTTAGATCAATACCATGTTTTATACATACAATACAGTTATGTATACATGACTCAATTCTGTCGCAAAAATCTGTTAAGGATATTTTAGCTTGTTGCAGATGTCTGGCAACTCATTTTCACCATTCCCCAACAATAGCAGCAAAATTAGAAGCAATTCAGGAACAACTTAGTACAAATAAGCACAGGTTGATCCAAGATATTACTACAAGATGGAACAGTTCTTATGATATGATTGAAAGGATGCTTGATCAAAAAGTTCCTTTGGCAACTTATACAGCAGATCATCCTACCCAATCAACACTAAATTCATTTCAATGGGACTTATTAGATAAAGTGTTGCATATTTTAGAACCATTTAAAACTTTAACCATTAATTTCAGTAAACGTGAATCATATTTGTCAGATGTTATTTCTTCAATTTTAGCTCTGAAAGAATTTTTCAATCAAGCATTAGTATGTGAGGCTTTTTTAACAATAAATACTTTAGTTGATTATTTAAGTGGGTCAGTAGACGAAAAATTGGGTCCATATTTACATGATAAATATTTATGTCTTTCCACTTTTTGTGACCCTAGATATAAATTGACATATCAAAAGGAAGATAAGGATAAAATAAAAAATTGGATAAATGAACAGATGCAAGAAATGCAACAAAGTAATTTAGAACTTGAATCCTTAGATTCTGATTTTGACGAACCTTCAGTACATAACACAAATGAAGTAATTGCAAAACCAGCTTATCCAAAATTCAATGAATGTTTTCAGAAAGTTTGTAAACTAATAACTATAGATGAATGTGATTTCAATTTTGTAAATACTGAAAATAGCAAAAGGTTAAAAAGATTAAATTCTAATATACAAATGATAAACAAGGAGATTGAAGAGTATTTAAAGCTACCTCTTGTCAAGGAAAAAGAAAGTCCTCTCTTGTGGTGGAAAAATTGTGAAAACTCTTTTAAAAATTTAAAGAAAATTACCTAAAAGTTTCTTTCAGCACCACCATCTTTTGTTGAAAGTGAAAGACTTTTTAGTACAGGTGGCATCATTTACGAACCCAATAGAAACAGACTATCACCAGAAAGTGGCGAAAAACTAATGTTTATTCATTATAACTTGAGGACGACAAATGAAAATTGATTTTCACTCATGTTTTTAATGTTTTATTTTTTTAATAATCGATTATTTTGTTAGGTGAAAGTTTAAAATTGTTGATTTGTCTAGTATTAATACTATTGCATGTTTAGTTATATAATAATAACATAATAGTATATGTTATATAGTTATATAGTAATAACTACATAATAAATTGGAGCATTTTAATATTTTTGATCACCACAATAACATTTTTCCCTATATTTATTCCTTTCAAATAATTTTCTCAGTTCAACCAGTTGAGTAGCCAAATTACGAGCAACTTTCTTTATAAAGTTTATTTTATATTACATTTTTGCGATTTTTCGAAAATAAAAAATTTGCTTCTTGCATGAATTTTATAACTTAAGTTTAATTATTATTATTATTATTGTATATAAAAGAATAAAATTAAATAAAATATTGCTCAATTGAAAGGATTTTTCATTTTACACTTATACTAGTACTATTTTTTCTAAATGATGTAAACTAGTTTTACGTAATACATTCGGTTTTAAGTAATACATGCTATCAAATTAAATTTATTCTAAATTCAAAAAACTTGATGTAAATCTAACGTACTCATGTGTTCTATTGAAAACCATATTCTTACCTACTATGCGTTGTAGATAAGAATCGGGTTTTCAATAAAAATCCATATCTATTGGTACTGTAGCTATTTAGGCTGAGTTATGATGATTTGATGATATTAATTTCCAAATTAGCATTTTTAGCAAATGTTCGGCCGAACATTTGTCAAGGTTCGGCCGAACCGAACATGAAGTCCTTTACAATATATGGTTAATTTTTAATAAAAATACAATGTCTGTAGTAAAATAATAATAATACATCTTTATGCAAAAATATTTAAAAACCAAGATAAAATGTTAAAAAGCCAAGATAAAATGTTAAACCAAATAGTATTCAAAATAAAACAACAACAACAAAAAAAGCAATAAAAAATAAATCAAGATATTTTCAATTAATGTTTAATGGTAATAATTTTATCTCTCGCAATAATATCCACTCTGCAAATTCACCCCGAAATTTCAGAGGAACTTAAAAATATATAAGTTATATGTCTATCTGTTTTTTTCCTCTGAAGAACGAAATATAAGAACTTGCGCATAAACCACCCACCATGTGCAGCCACCTGTAATTTAAAAACCAAAGCCTTAGGGGATATTCATATATTAAGTTCGCAGTAACAATACTGATTTAGGATTCCCCTCACCCCTGCTCTTTATATGCCTTAAGTGCCGCCCTCCATCTGCGTTCATGCGTAATACAAAAATTAATCTCTTTCCTTTTTAATCACAAACGTGATTTTTTGTATAGTTATAGAGTCAACCATTGCGGAATACCTTACAAATTACTTAATAGTTAATAAATTTATTTTTGTATTACCAATATACTTTTATAGCGTAAATCCACCTGTGCACAGATGTTGACAACCTTGAAAGAAAAGAATGCTGCTGCCAATAACAAAAAGATTGTGTATATTGTATTTATAGACTTTGAGAAAACCTTTTGTTTTGTGACTCGCTTTAAGTTGCTTTCCAAACTATATTTCAAAGGTATTAAGTACGAACTGCTAAACTGTACTAAAACTTGTTAATAAATTGTTCTTAATGTGTAAGTGTCGGTAATTCGTATTCAAACCAAATTCTTGCAATAGTGGAATACCGCTTGAGGTATTCCACTTCTTTGGACCAGTTTTATTTTTAGTTTTTATAAATGATGCAACCTCTTGTATCGACAGTGATAATGGCATTGAGCGGTTTGTTGACAGTAAAATGCATCAAGCAAGAGACGATAGAAACAACACACGCCTTGTCAATCTTTAAAAACTTTCAGAATTGTAAAATATTTTAAAATTTAATTCAGCGACCGATAAATATTTTTATCTGCAATTGAAAACAGCTTTTTAGCATTAGATTCATATCATATATTAATTAAATAAGTATTGAAATTTATTTAACAAACTTTATAAAATTTAAAAACGCAGGTTTATAATTTTTATATTTCAAATTAGTTAAATTCTTAAAAGAATTTAGATCGTGAAACTAAACAATAATTTTTTGCATGTTTATACTGTTGTCAAAAATATCACGGTAAACAAAGGTAATAGAGCAACTCGACGTCAGTACCCCTGACGTCACGGTGAGAAAGGATGTGTGAACTTTCTGATTAAATGCACTTCCGCGGTGCTCTGTTGCAAGACCGTTAGGACTTCTTGGGGCACCTAAAATAACAAATTTAATTAAAAAAAAAAGTACATTCATCCCTGATACATTCATCCCTGGAATTTTGAAATCAAGCTATTTCGTCCGCAAGAATAAATTCAATTTGAAATTTCTCTTTATTTTTTCTCAAAATGAAATGACAGCTTACAAAATTTTTTTGCATTGTTACAGTAACTTTTAATTTTTTGGTTAGTGAATGTTAAATAGTAATAAATATTATGTTTTTACAAAATAACAGTTTATTACTCAAATAATAAAATTGTTTATTCTTCTTTTATAAAAAATTTTTGGGAATTAGAATATTGCTAATAATACAATAATACAAAAGCTAATAAAACAATTTTTTTCGGGAAACAGCCTTGCTATCATTTTAGTTAAAGTCTGCTAAACAGAAGTTTGATAAAAAAAACACTTAAAATGCCTAATCGGGCTAAGAATCATGAGGAATGCAGGAAAACTGTTTGTTGCTTGTGTTTCCACAAATGTACAAATCAACTGACACAATTTCAAATTCAAAGATTGTAAACAATTTACAATCAGCCTTTGGAAACATCTGATGTCAGGATTCCACTTGGACTTTGTGAAGCTTGTAGGACAATTCAAAGAAGAAGAGATGCAGGGAAAAATGCACAACTTCCAGTCTTATTTGATTTTTCATCCATCACAGTGAAACCACCAACTCGTGGGCAAGACTGCTGTTGCCTTATTTGTCAAATTGGGCACTCAAAGCTCAACTAAAAAGACCCTCTCTCAACTCCCCACCATGAAGGAGAGAAGCTTCAAAGGTGTGGTGACTGCCTAAGCCTTATTGAACGTGGACTTACTCATTCCTGCATACCATCCACATTTAGAGAAAATATAAGACTTTTGGCAGCTCAAGATACAAATACTGCAGAACAAATTGCTACTCAAGTACTTTCAAGAAAGTAATCATCTTCAAATGGCACAATACGGATTTCAAGGCCTGGAGAAGGCTCTTCTTTACAAGTTACACCAGGTACTGTTTTATTTCTTATTGTTTTGACTGCATTGTTTTTTAAATTTAATTTAGCTTTGATTTAAACATTGATGGCTCCAAAGGCACATAACTTGAGATTATTTTAACAAGCCTGCTTTCTATTGAGTTTTCTTCAGTTTACTTGTGCAAGAAAAATTTTTGATGATTCTCCAATCACTATAAAAAGCCTTGTTGATGTCCAACAAAATATTAGATTTTCTAACTTTGGCATGAAAAAATTTGCATCCACCTTAAACCAAATTGCCAAGTCCAAAGTGGTAGAACCTAATTTTTGGTCAAAATTTGACGGCTTTGGAAAAACTCTCTTAGACTTCTTTACCCAGAGTACAATACCCACGGGAGAAAAGCAAGCAAATTCAGAAGGAGGTCATCTGGTCATTCACTGCAAATCTATGCAATACATAATTGATGAAGTATTGATGTACAGAAAAATTTTCTGCAGTCATTTCTTTAAGCTTGGTATAAGTGGTGGAAATGGGTTCCTAAAATTCACTCTTGGTGTGATTGTAGATGAATCTTTTAAAGAACTGCCCACAAACAACGACTTCTCACACAAATGCAGGCCAAAGATACCAGTGTTAGACAACAACTAATCATTGCTGCTGCTGAGAATCTACCAGAGTCACATGACAGCCTCAAGCAAAATTTGGTTACTCATAAATCCAAATCAGATTGATCTTGTTGTTTCTTTTGATTTTAAAGTAGCAAACCTTCTCCTTGGACTTCAATCACACTCCAGTTCCCATCCTTGTTTATGATGCAATATGGAATCAAAGAACTTGGAGATATGTGGTGAGAGCAGAACAATTGGATCACTCAAAGCCAAATATCATAATTTCAAATCATCAGGAAGTGATAGGAAGGCAAAGGTCTATGGCAATGTAGTTCATGAGCCCATTCTGACAGGATCTGATGACAGACTTATCATAAACATTCTTCCCCCAATGGAGCTGCACTTGCTTTTTGGTGTAACCAACCATTTGTTCAAGGCTATGAAAGACTTGTGGCTTAAGGCAGAAGAATGGCTTGCTAAATTGCATACTCACCAAGAATCTTACTATGGAGGGCATTACAGCAGCTTATTGAATCAAATGCTGCATTTCAAGTTGTGGAAATTGCCAACACACTGAGGAAATTCAATGATGTTGTCAAGGCTTGCTTTGGTCAAGAGCTTGATCCCAATTATGCTGAAAAAATTGACAACTTCAAAAGGGTTATCTTTTTCTTCATTAAGGAAGTGTCACACGCAAGGTACATGCAGTGTTTTACCATGTGTAGGAATTTATTGCAAGAAAAAAAAATACCTCTTAGAATTTTTAGTGAACAGGCCTTTGCAGTGATATTTTTGTTCGGAAAATAATTTTAGTTTTAGTTTTTATTCAGTTTAGAGGCAAAGTTTTTAGTTCTAGTTCTTATTCAGTTCAGTAAATAAATTTAGTTCTAGTTTTTATTCAGTTCATCTTAAAATAATTTTAGTTTTAGTTTTTATTTAGTTCAATTTTCGTTTGTCGTATAAATTTTTTATCTCATCTAATTATAATTTAGTATAATTTATAAATAATATAGGCATATATAATTTAAAGAAGTAAGTCTTAGTTCTATAAACAAACAAAAAAATGAGAACTTAATTAAATGTAATACACCCAGTCCCATGGCTAGAAGTTTAGAGCCCCGCCCACCGCCCTTAATAAAAAACACAACAACAACAACTTGTCCTTATTGCTCTAAAACTTAAAAAAATTTCAATTATTAGGTATAAAAAAAACTCCTCAAATTTGGTAACTATAAAAACTAATGAATAGTTATTGTATAGACTTTAATAATTACTCATATATTTTACAAATAAAGGGCCTAGTGATTATATGATTATCATCTAGACTAGATGAGAATTTAGTTTTAAGAAAACTCGCATTTCCAATGACGCTGACATTCGATTTCTCCGTCCATTTGTGAGCAAGCCACAGATTGAAAAAAGTCTTTCAACATATGCTTGAGTTGCAGGAGCTGCAATGAGGTCTACAGCTAATGGTGCAATATGTGGGTAAACAGCACGTCTCATCTTCCAGAAATTTAAAGCATTTTGGCACATAGAGCTGTTCCTTATTTCAATAAAATATTTGTTGAGTTCATTTTGTGCTTCATTACCTGGAATAAGCTTTATTTTTTCTACTCGCTGTTTTGCCGCTAAAAATTTTTATTTTGTTAATCCATTTATTTCTGGAGCAATCTCAACAGAAAGAGTAGATGCACTTGCTAAAGGTAAATCATGTTGCACCGATTTTTTAGCCTCTGACAAAATGTATTTCTTTGCACACTCTCTGATTTGTGTATGCTCATTACCTAAAAGAGCTATTGCACATGTGGGGTCAAGTAGACATGCGGCACATGGCAGTGGATTAAAATTAGGATCGTTTGGCTGCAAAAGAACGGCAAAACGACGGCGTAGATCTTCAAGCATTTTAACTGCTACATCTTTGGCATCTCCAAATTGCTCAAGGTGACATTCTAAATTAAGTATTGAAGGTATAACACTGGATAGTGAAAGTGCATCCGTCTGAAGAATATCAGTTTCATTGGCAAAAGGTTCTAAAAGATTGACAAAATCCTGAAGTATTATCCATTCGCTATTGGCAAGTGAATCAATGTTAAGGTCTCCAAGCACTTCGTTGATAGATGTCTTTATTTCCAGAAATCTCCGAACCATAAAGTAAGTGCTGTTCCATCTTGTAGAACAGTCGCTGATCACAGTCTTACCACATTTGTTGATAATTTTTTCCAATGCAACAGAAGATTTGCGAACTTTTCCCACTAATCCACGTACCTTCAAAAGTAAGCCATGATATTTACCATCATATGCAAGTTTTACAACTAGCTGTATAACATGTGCAATGCATCCCAATCTTCTAAATGCTACGTTTTCTATTACATCAACTATCAAGTCAACATGTTCCCACTCTTCACTATTTGTCATATTCTCATCGTCTTCCAGATCTGTTATCTGCTCTTCATTAACCTCACTTTCTAATTCAATAAGTATATCACGTTCAGCTTGAGCTTTCATTCTCGACAACTTTATGCCTTTGACCATGTTTGCTCCATTGTCCGAAATAACAAGCAATATTTTTTCTCTGGAAATATTCCAATATTTCAGGCATTTTTCAAAACAATTAGCAATTTGTTCACCTGTATGTGGATGTTTCACAAGATACAAATTAAGCAGAGCATGTATTGGTTTTTCGGATTTGAAGTGAAAAAAACAAACTGAAATTCCTAAAAAGGACGCAGTAAGACCTTTTTTAGTCCAGCCATCAAGGCATATTGTGAAGCGCCTGCCTTCAGATATGAAGTCACGAAGTTTTCTCGTTAAAACAGTAAATTCTTCATTAAGTAGGCTAGTAATTTTGGCAGAAGCAGGCAATGAAAATTTATAATCCAAGGTATTAACTAACTTTCTAAAACTCGCATTATCCACCAATGTCACTGGATTACATGTTGCAATTATCATTTGAATAAGAGAGTTTAGTCGAATTTTATGCTCGTGTGAATTAATAGGCCATGCGGTATTCCTACGATTAATGCATTGAATCAAGGTCTGGTTCTGATTTGAGGACGATTCTAAAAGAGTGGGTCCATTTTCATCCACTGCTTTTCTCTTTATCCCTGTTTGCTTTTTTTCACTTAATTTCTTTAATTCCGACTCTTCCAGCTCAACGTGTACAGACTTATGGTTTCTTGCTAAATGTAGCTAGAAAAAAATAAACATATTTCTATAATTTTTTGTTTGTATATTTATATGTTTATTTATCTATCTGTTTATCAATTAATGTATAAATAAGTTCGTATACGTTATTGAATAATTACTCTAAATGATAAAAATGAGTCGTTTGTTTCAAAATGAAAACATATCCTCTAAGAGATAAACTAACTTTAAGATTTGTTGGGTTCTTTCCACACAACTTTGTATTGCATACTTTTTCACCATCAAGTAAAACTAAACATACTGATTTGTCGGATGACGCATCGTATTTAAACCATTTCCATACTGAACTATTCCTCTTCCTACCAGCAAAAAGTTTACTCAAACTCATCGCGTAGTTGTGTTGGTCTTACAGTTTGATTTTTTTTAGTTCGAAAAAATATATTCGAATAAATATATTCGAACTATATCATAACTAAACTTATTCGAACTTAATTGATTAAAATTCAATTAAGTTGGAATAATATATCATTATAATGTATTGTAATATAATAATTATATACTAGCAAAAGGCAACCCGTAATACGGGTTTTGGTCGGTCTGTTACATAATTAATTTATAGTAGCTGTTTTCCACAATTTAATCTTGCAAAACCTTAACTAATACCTTTTTAGAAAATTGCCTTCAGCTTGAAAAAATTAATCCATCTGTAAAATTAACATAAAAATTATGAGGAGGTAAAATAATTTACCAACTACTACTTAACATTATTAAGTAATTTACAAATGGCACAGGTCATAACAGTGTAAGGCAGAACCATTTTCATCGACCTTCCTAAGTTTAACACAATACGTTTTTAGTTACTGACGCAAAATAATAACACTTGGTTATACTTTAAATTGACGAAAGTGTCAACTAAATCCTTAAAATAATTTTTATAACACGAACCATTAAAATTAAAATGAAGTTAATTTATATTATACAGGAGTTATCAATTTTTTGTTATCCCCTTGATTAATTGTTCTTTAGAAAAGAAAATTGGTAACTTAAAAATGTTAAATGCACACGTTTAAATAAATTTATAAAAAATAACAAAGTTTATTATACTACGCAACTGAGTACAAATACCTTTCAAACAAAAGAAAATTTAATTTACGATCAAACATAGGTATAACTAATTTTTTAATACATTAATGCATCATAGAACAAACTAAAATAAAAATTATAAGAGATAAGTAGACAAAAATTTGTAAACCAAGCTGACCCGACCCGGGTCTTGTTAAGTCTGTTCAACACAGACCATTTGTATATCATTTATTTGGCCTCTTTATTTTATTAAATTTTTAGTAAACGGTAATTTGCCACCATTTACTGAAAATTCCTTTTGTAACTCGAAATTTAATTTTTCTAAATATTTTGGCTCTAATAAAGAGGTTCCTTCCCTCTTTTTGCTTTAATGGTGGCCTGGTGAATAAAATAAAATATTAAAATGTAAAACAATGATCTACTTAAATAAAAATGTTTTCTTTCTTTCCTCAAAAGTGTTGCTAATACAGACTAAGCTAACTAATTAGTTAAACACATAAATAAAACTTAAGTAACTCGATATTAATGCGCAAAACTACAATATTCTCCGTATTTTTAAAGGTTTTAAGTTACGACCGCCCATTCAACCCATACGACCCCCCAATCAATTCTCTCTCTACAATTCTCAATACTAATTCTTATTTAAGTCTCATCTAAGAGAGAGAGGAAGTGTTTTAAAAACACCATGTTAGAAAAAGTAAAAAAGTCATGCAATAAATAACAGTAACTGGTTTTATTATGCTACCAATAAACAAAATTATTTTTACCTTAACTAAAAGTTAATTTCCAGCATTTCTTAATTTATTTCCAGCTTCTCTCTAACTGTTGACAAATGATTAATATTGTAAATTTCACATCATATTAAATTTACAAAATTAAAACCATGTTTTAACAGTAAGCAAAATAATCAAGTGATGACAAAGACAACTAAAAAAAAAATGAACAATTATATTAAGATTACAAAAGTAAAAAAAAAAAAAAAAAAAAAAAATCATTTAAAACTGAAATTTTTATTATTTGTTACTATAAATAGTGAAATTCATACTTTGCTTTATTTTAAAGTGTCTAATGTAAAGTCAAATAATAGACATCAACAGCGCTTGACACTGAATTCTGCCAAGTAAGTTTTTGGTTCATCAAGCAAAATTTCTTATATTTCAACGACAATTAATTTTATCATGCCTAGATCTATTTCTTTCATATGACAACAATTTCAAGTCACCTATAACCATTTACACTAATAACTTCTTCGAGCCTAATATTATAAATCTGTTATCATTAAATATATATTACCAGTGGTTATGCTACTGTTACAACTGAATAAATGAACGTTTTATATTTTTACAACTGAAAAATATAAAACAAAATTTATTTACATTATTTTAATTTAGCAAAGAATTTAGAACACAGTGCAAAGTTATTTGCATTGTGTTCTAAATTCTTTGCTAAATTAAGAAAGCCTTCAGGCACAATCTTAATGCACAAAAATAATAAATGCAGAATCTTGTATAAAAAATGAAGCAATGTCAGTCTAAAGTAATATATATGTATGTATATATATTCAAATTTTTTCTATTCTTAATTTTTTCTTTGAGATAATATTCATATAGATTCAGAGAAATATAAAATATTCCGATATATAGGCACATTTAAGTATATAAACTTACCTGTCAAAAATTACAGTCAGTTTTTCATGTTAAATACATAAAATATATATCTAATATAAAATTAAACAAAAAATTAAACTTACTCAAATCAGTAACAGTTCGACTGTCTATATATTTTTATTATTAACCCTTCTATTTAAAAAATAAAAACAAATGATTTGAAGTAACTAAAAAGCACTTTAGCTCTTTCCAATTGCACTAAAAAATAAAATAAATCTTGCTTGCTAAGTTGCCTAATTCTTAAGAGTCTGATAACAAATAAGTAAAAAACCAAGAACAAACAAACATTTATTTACTAAAACTACTCTATTTAAACAAATTAAAGTATACAGAGAACAACATTGATACTCCTTGAAAGCTGAAAAACTTTTTATCTCAAATTTGCTTGTAGACCTTGCTTATGAAACCACTTGAATAAGAAAAGCATCAAAAAAGCCTAGAAGCTGGTATATGCTACATTGAATTTTAAATGTTGATTGGTGTAGATATTTTTAAAAAATTCAAAATGATTTGTTCTTCTATAGCAAATAAATACACCATAAATCTGAAGTTAAAAATGTAATAAGTAAATACAAAGAAAAACATCATATGTGAATTAAAAATCAATGTACCTGATAGAGATAAGCTGCGGTGATACCTGAGTAGTATCACCGCATACACGTATTTATCAAAAAAAAATTTTACTTTGATCATAATATAAATGCAAACATATATGCAAACTTTTAACAACTATAAAAGAACATTTATTAGCATCAATTATTTTTAATGTAACAAAGAATGCAGACTACAATGCACGACATTGTTAATAAAAATGAAGTTATGTCAGTCAGTATATATTTATCTAAAGTAGTGATAATAAACCATTTAAAAACAAAATTAAAAATTTTTAATGAATATATATTTAGATACCTTAAAATGAAGCATAACACAACACTCTTTTGACAAATTCCAGAGCAAATTTTTAAAATTTTTCTATTCCTTATTATTTTATTCCTTATATCGATAAAATACATATTAAATGCCACATTCAACTAATGTAATTAATACCTTATTTAGATCTCTCTTGATTAACTAAAGAATTTAAATTTTAAATAAACTTTAACTAAATTTTAACAAACAAACAACCAAAATAAATCTTCATATTAATAGTACGTTATTAAGTTGAGTAATAGATCAAACAATTTAATCTACTATAATAATCTACTACCTTATTAATAAACTTTAATTTTTTTTCTACGACTCAGTGTAACTATAATATAGATATTTTTAAAGTAAAAAAGAATTTAATATTATAATATATATGATTTAAAAAACCTGAAATTTTAAATCTACCTCGAAGAAAACAGATATATAATAAAAAGTATTTTTATTTCTTTTTAAAAATTTTAAAATGCTTTATAACTTACTTGTTTCATATTATTACCAACGTCTAAATAGAAAAACAAAGATATATGAGTTATATATAGGATTTTAAAATATATATGATTTTAAAAAACTGAAACTTTAAATCTACCTCAAAGAAAACAGAGATATATTGAAAAGTATTTTTATTTCTTTTTAAAAATTTAAAAATGCTTTTTAACTTACTTGCTTCAATATTGTCATCATCTAAATAGAAAAACAAACAAACATTTAAGTCGACTTATTCTTAAATCTAGTTTAATTTCTTCAATAATAAAAAAAATTTAATCTTTGAGGATTAAATTCATTTACAAAAATCCGTTTAAACCATTTTAACATTGTTAAGTTAATTTAAAGTTTTAAAAAACTGAAACTTTAATTCTACCTCAAAGAAAACAGATATATATTGAAAAGTATTTTTATTTCTTTTTAAAAATTTAAAAAGACTTCTAAACTTACTCCCTTCAATATAATTATATAATATATATAGTATATATGATAAATAAACCTCCACAATTTCCTTGGTTTAACAACTCGATTATGATTTATAACAACTCTGTAAACATAAATTTTCTAATAACCTAAATAAATTACAGATAGACAAACATAAACTAACACAACTAAATCCTAAACCAAAATTCATTCGTGCAAGACAAATAATTTTATATTTATTGAAGAGCCAGAAACATATTTTTTTTCAAAGAGCTAAAGTATTAACAATATTAAAGACAAATTTTATTTATAACAAAATTTTCAATAAAAATTAAATTAAGATAAATTTATAAAAAAATGTTGTCATGGCTTTTATCCCAATAACCAAAACTAAGTGAAAGCATGAAACTACCCATAAATATATTTTAACGCTAGACACAAATTAAGAATTAAAGTAATCTATAACACGAAGCTTTAAATTTAAAATTACAATTTAAAAAAGATTACAATAAATTAATTACTTTTAAATTTAAAAAAAAATTTAAATTACCTATAATTTTAAGCTACTAAACATTATCTACTTAATGTCAACTTAGATATTTTGAACTCGTACCATAAAAGGTTGAAGGGAAATCTGTAAGTCAGCACGCGGTAAAGAAAAGTCTAGAAACTACTTAAAAAGTGTATTTTACAGATACAGAACCGTACCGTAACTATAAAACAATACGCGTAACTATGCGCATTAATATTCATAGGCTATTAATTATAGGCGATGTGTGTATATATATATATATATATATATATATATATATATATATATATACAGGGGCGGATCTAGCATTTTAAATGGGTGATGCGAAATTTTTTTATCGACGTCCCCCCCCCCCGCAACCT